CTCTCTATATAATACTCGTCTTTACCACCTACAATCTGTCTCGAAAAAACCTACTTCTTCAAAGCTTTCATTCAGATTTCAGCTCCTCTTTCCTCAGTAACTAGCCGACTCTAAAAGAAAAGATATGGCCGGCAAGGGAGAAGGACCGGCGATCGGAATTGATCTCGGTACTACATACTCATGCGTCGGTGTATGGCAACACGATCGTGTTGAAATCATTGCCAATGATCAAGGTAACAGAACGACGCCGTCCTACGTTGGTTTCACTGATTCTGAGCGTCTCATTGGTGATGCTGCCAAAAATCAAGTCGCCATGAATCCTATCAACACGGTTTTTGGTAAGATTTCTTGCTTGCGGTTCTAAAATCAGAATTCTGATCATACGTTCTGTGCGTTTTTATTTGTTTTGTGTATCTTTACTGTAACTCGAGATTTGATTTCGATATGTTGATTTGAAGTGATTTAGTTATTAGAACTATGCATAATTTTTTAAATTTTTATTCGAATTAGCTATGTTGATCTGTTGTTGCTTCAGTTCAGAACCGCGTCTTTGAATTGGTTGGATTAGATTAGATCTAAAACTAGATCTTAATTTGGACTACTTGGATTGTTTATCATGAACTTATGCTTGATTATCTACCATCTTCGAAGAAGCACTACTTGAAGTGGTAAAAGGTTAATCCCTTTGTTCAATTTATGATTTTGATTTGGTCTGAGTTTAAGAAATGAATCATGGGTCTTAAACTAAAGATTTTATTGTGTCAAAAAGCCCTTTGTGTTTTTAAAAATGTCATTTGGGAAATTAGAACGGAGCCCTTAAAAAAAGGGAAATGACATTTTTTTGTAGGGAGTTGAAAGGAAAGTAAAAATCAAATTGTAACAGATACATAGAGTAGTATTTTGGGGTATTGTGTTTGCTAAATCTGCCAGACTTATTAAGATGCAAAGCAGGATATAATATAAGTTTTGACATATTTGGTTAACTTGGCTTATTTAATTTGAAGATGAGTTAGTGTATATTCTGCCTTCTCATGCCATTTTGGCATTAAATTATTTTTTCAGATAAAAAGCTGAATATATAACAAATTAATTTTCTTTTTGGATCATATTGTTTATTAGATACTACCTGATAAGCAGATAGAAATTGGTTATTTAGTGATGGTATTCTTATGAAGAAAAGACCTGATTTTTGGTTAGATTACAATCATTTTAATGTATTAGAAATTCATCTGAAGCTTTTATGGTTGTTTGGAGTACAAAGCACATAATTTTTTAGTTTGTTTTTCTGTTTCTGAGACAACATTCTTTAATTGTTGACTTAAATTTGTTGACCATGCAGATGCTAAAAGGTTGATTGGTAGGAGGTTTAGTGATGCTTCTGTGCAGAGTGACATGAAGTTATGGCCATTCAAGGTTATTCCTGGTCCTGGCGATAAGCCCATGATTGTTGTCAACTACAAGGGTGAGGAGAAGCAGTTTTCTGCGGAGGAGATCTCATCTATGGTGCTCATTAAGATGAAAGAAATCGCTGAAGCTTTCCTTGGAACAACTGTTAAGAATGCTGTGGTTACTGTTCCAGCCTACTTTAATGACTCTCAACGTCAGGCCACCAAGGATGCTGGTGTTATTTCTGGCCTAAATGTGATGCGTATTATCAATGAACCAACGGCAGCTGCTATTGCTTATGGTCTTGATAAGAAGGCAACCAGTGTTGGTGAGAAGAACGTGCTCATCTTTGATCTTGGTGGTGGTACATTTGATGTCTCTCTACTCACAATTGAGGAAGGTATCTTTGAGGTGAAGGCTACTGCTGGAGATACTCATCTTGGAGGTGAGGACTTTGACAACAGGATGGTAAATCATTTTGTTCAGGAATTTAAAAGGAAGAACAAAAAGGATATCACTGGTAATCCTAGGGCACTCAGGAGGTTGAGAACTGCATGTGAGAGGGCAAAGAGGACACTTTCATCCACTGCTCAGACCACCATTGAGATCGACTCTCTGTATGAGGGTATTGATTTTTACTCCACCATCACACGTGCTAGATTTGAAGAGCTTAACATGGATCTGTTTAGGAAGTGTATGGAACCAGTTGAGAAGTGTTTGAGGGATGCCAAGATGGACAAGAGCACAGTTCATGATGTCGTTTTGGTTGGTGGCTCCACTAGAATCCCAAAAGTTCAACAACTTTTGCAGGACTTCTTCAACGGGAAGGAGCTCTGCAAGAGCATCAACCCTGATGAGGCTGTTGCTTATGGTGCTGCAGTGCAAGCTGCAATTTTGAGTGGCGAGGGTAATGAGAAGGTGCAGGACCTTTTGCTGTTGGATGTTACCCCTCTTTCCCTTGGTCTGGAGACAGCTGGTGGTGTCATGACTGTGTTGATTCCCAGAAACACGACTATCCCAACCAAGAAGGAGCAGGTCTTCTCAACCTACTCTGACAACCAGCCTGGTGTGTTGATTCAAGTGTATGAAGGTGAGAGAACAAGGACCAGGGACAACAACTTGCTTGGCAAATTTGAGCTTTCCGGTATCCCTCCTGCCCCCAGGGGAGTTCCTCAAATCACAGTGTGCTTCGACATTGATGCGAATGGTATCTTAAATGTCTCTGCTGAGGATAAGACCACCGGACAGAAGAACAAGATAACCATCACTAATGACAAGGGCAGACTCTCAAAGGAGGAGATTGAGAAGATGGTTCAGGAAGCAGAGAAATACAAATCTGAGGATGAGGAGCACAAGAAGAAGGTTGAGGCAAAGAATGCTTTGGAGAACTACGCGTACAATATGAGGAACACAATAAAGGATGAGAAGATTGCATCCAAACTGTCCGCTGATGACAGGACTAAGATTGAAGATGCTATTGAGCAAGCCATCCAGTGGCTTGATGGTAACCAGCTCGCTGAGGCTGAAGAGTTTGAGGACAAGATGAAGGAGCTAGAGAGTCTTTGCAACCCTATCATTGCAAAAATGTACCAAGGAGCAGGTGGTGACATGGATGACGAAGGTCCTGCTCCTAGTGGTGGTGGTGCTGGTCCTAAGATTGAGGAGGTGGACTAAGTTTGTGGTTCCTATATTGTTTTTTATTAGATACCTGTCATTTTTGTCTCAGAGAACTCTATGAATATCTTTTTCTTTCTTCAATGAAATACAATGTTATATGTTGTAGTAATCCGAATTCCCAAGATATTGCTCTTTACCATGGCTGCCTCAAGTTTCTCAAACTTAACCAAAAATGTTGCTCTGTTAACAGTTGGATGGTTTTAGTCAAATTTGAGAAACTTTAGTGGTTGATGTGAACAATAGGGATAATATTGATCAAACAACTCTATTAAGTTGTCGAAAGTAAAGAATCCAGAATTGCATATGGTGTTCTACAATTTGTTTATATTATCTGTTTGTGCACAAGACGATGTAGATTTGGGTCAATGATGTATGTAGGATTTGAGAAAACAGCAATCTCAAATCTGAAAGGCCAAGGTTTCTCCACCTCTTCGACTTCAGCAATAGCTAAATTTCCAGTATCTTGACCTAGCCACCTTATGCCAATTCGCACAACAAATGTCCTAATAGGAAATTATAATTAAAAAAGGTATTCTCATTAGGTATATCCAAGACAAAGAACAATTAGTGGGAAAATAATAATAATTGTAGTCTCAATCCACTCTTAAAGAGAATTGTCAAAAACTAGGTTTTGTGAGTTAGGCCTAAGACCTAATTTTCACATGGTATCAGAGCAGGGCCCGTCTCACCCGATGTTGGGGTCCCCAAAATTAAAATTGCCCACGCACCAGATGCTAAGCACTGGGCGTGAGGTGGGGTGTTAAAGAATGACAAAAGTCCCACATCGGTGATTAATGAGACGGGTGGACTCTTTATAAGGCTTGGACAATCCTCCTCCCTTTGAGCTTAGCTTTTGGGGTGTGAGTTAGGCCTAAGACCTAATTTTAGAGTATCTATATCTAGTCCACCGCGGAGTTATTGGTTCCCATGAGGTGGATTTGTGGTCCTAACGCATAAGATAAGTCTAGTGCGTCCCAAGAGGGATTCTTCAACCAAAAACTACCCCAAACCAATTAAGGAACTTAAGAAAGTGACTAAATTTGTTTGGTTAGTGGTTGAGAGGAAGTAGCTTACTCAAAATTTTCTTCTTGAGCATCCAGATAAACAAGCAGGAAAAGTAATAGTAACACTACAATGAAGACTTCAGTTGATAGATTTAAAACAAAACTAGGGATTGCTTTAAGCACCTACCAATCCTGACCACATCAAATATAACCTCGTACTTCCCATTAGTGATTTGCAAGGGAGCATAAGAGTTGAAACAACTACACTATCAACTACCATTTCGTCTCCGTTTATCGTTATTTGTTCACTATATTAATTCTCTCAATTTATTTGAGTAAGACATTCATGATGTGGACTTGCGGTCCTTAACTGATAACACACAAGTCTGCTAAAGTTTTCAAGTGGTTTTTTTTCTTCCTTTAATAAAAGTAGTGTTCAGCCTCAAGCCCTCAACTAACTCCATCAGCATAAATGTCGAATAACTCTGTCTACCTAAGGGTAGAGTGAACAAGACCATAAAAGTTGCCTTTTCTATTAATGATGGCAGATGCTACAATGAAAATATCATTTTCTTGCAGGTTAGATGAGTGTGCCTCAAGGATAGATGTCTTGTGGTTGCCTTGTACCTTTCTATTTCTGTGGGCTTGGTTTTTTATGAAAAGATTTCATGGTACAATACATTCATATAGAGCACACAAACTATTCAAAGCCGTCTATTATCAAGTTAGCACTGAATAGCCAATCAATTCGATTTCTCGCGATGGATAAGATCTTATCCATCCCACTACAATGCAGCATATACATGCTACTGAAAAAGAAGGAAGCAAGCCCAAAAACCAAACTCCCAACAATAAAAATAAGTCATACTTCTTTTTGTTAGCTTACCGAATTGCTACGCTAAACTAAGCATGAAAAGCTATGAAATTAATAGATGAACACAATATCAGTGACTATACTAATAAACCAACTGGTGAAATTTCATAGCAAACACTGTTACAATAAAAACTAGTTAAGATAAACAACTGCCAACCACAACATTTAGTGTGTTTTGATAAAACCACACTACAGATACTACAAAGTTGGTGCTGAACGAAGCACCAGCCCTAACAACCACCTATGCGTTACTCCAAGTACACGTCTAGGTCAACATCAGGTCATTTCCAACAAGGTGAGGACGGAGACAAACCCGAACTTCATGTTCTTCTTCTGGACCATCGCGAACTTTTGGCACCAATATCTCCAGCACCGTTCCTGATTCATCATAATATGCTTCAAGTTTAGCATCTTCAGGAATTCTGGCTGGAAGAGGAATTTCTCGAACGAACTCTCCTGGAAGGCAGTGTTCTGAGGATGAAACTTGAAGCTTGAAAGTTCTATTCTGTCTCTTGATGAACGGGATCCGAGATGTGCTCAGACAAGACACCTTAATTATCCCATGTGTGGGTGTGTTCCGCCATGAAACTTTGACTCTTTGAAGATCTACAAATGGCAAGCTGATTACGATCAAATAACCTTCTTCATCTTCGTAGATACTTTTTGCAGCTGTAACAGGGCCATAAGCATCCCTCATCACCCCAGTAAATTCATTTAACCAATTCGGTTCATTTGGGTGAATTTCAAGGTCTGGAATTTGATAGGAAGGAGGATTCACTTGCAGATAACACTCTTCTTCAGTTCCATTTGAGAAGAAGTCCTTTTTCCTTTTGCCGTTGACAGGTAGTAGATCCATTGCGTCTCCATTGCTATGATTGGACGGCTGAGTTGACAAATTAAGTCCAGAACCATTAAGCAGCTTCTTTGAGTTGGACTGTGGGTTACCCTTTATTGGCGGAAGCGGCCTCTCAAGCTCAAATTCGGTGTTGGGGAGGTTTCTCCATGTACTGAAATCACTAGCTTCCGGTGGGATAGTGAAGTTCGCATCCCTACCAGTGAGTTCCTTCCATCTTTTGCGCTCCTCTTCATCAAGAACCATGAGATTGGGAGACGACACAATCTCAATCCCATGAACACACTGAGGATTTGATAGGCCTCTGTAATGCTTCCTTTGCATCCTATGAGATCGAATGAAACCCCTATCAGCGCTAAATGGAAATGGACGTTCCCCTTGTCGAGAATGCCCATTCATGTAACTCCGTAGCTGCATCTTACCCAATGCATTCTCAGGTCTATCCTTAAATACCCACATATACATATTCTCCATATCATGTTGAACCATGAAAACATCAAGCTGGAGATCACTTTTATCAAACCCGGAAATTCCATTACTATCCCGGATCATCTTAGCCTTAGATTTCTCATTTAGAACAGGCTTAAAATAGAAACTAAAGAAAAACCAAGCACCCCAGATGCTATCTACACGTTTTGCACATTTCCTCCCTACTTTAGGCACACTAAGGAAAGTTTCAGTTTCATAGATCTGTGTCCCTAACCCGACATCAAGAATATCATTCCACGGCTGAGTAGGCGAGCTACGGTCAGCTGATAAGGGCAAATTAATATCAGGGGGACGAGTTATGACAACTTGGCGATTCATCTCAAGGTCTAATTCATCATGTGAAGAAGAAGCACTGGAATCCATGGACAAAAGGGTTGAAGGATGATGATTCTCCATTGACAGAGTTGTAAGAAGAGTATCTACCATTTCACAAATTTCTCCCTTGAAAATAGGGACTCTCTAATTACTAATCCTAGCTCCAATTCTTAAGTACCCAAATGAACTTTCTTGAAAAAAATTCAATCTTTACAAACAACACATCCATCATACTAATCCCAACAACAACAACAACATTTACACCACCATCAAATCCTTTTTACTTATTCATCACATAACTACAAACCCTCAAAAAACCCAAATAACAAAATAGTCAAAAATAACATACAAGTCGAAAGAAAAACTAGATGAACACTGTATTCAACCCTAACCCAAGAATCTCATTAAACCCTTCAAAGACAGGTGAGAGAAACTGAGTAAATCTTGCAAACCCCATAATCTTTATTCCCCAAATTAACCTCTTTTTTTTCACCTCTAATAAACAGAACTATATAATATAATTTGTGTATCTTTTTCAATGTATAGTATTACCAATCTATGAATCCAAGACCCAAGAAAAGGACTAAATCAGAAGGGATCTTGGAAGAGTACCTTTTGGGATAAGCTTCAACAACCAAGAACCCACAAATACTAGGACATTCTGAAGAATCAATGGCTCTTACCATCCTCATCCTTCTATAATTTTTTCTACAATCTCTTTGAGGAATTTACACAAACACTTCAACTTACATGAGTAAAATGAAGATGAAAAGTCAAGAAACACACAAATATAGAGAAAGGAAAAAAAGGGGACAACAAAAACAAATGCAATTTGGTATTTGGTGGTGACAAAGTGAACAGAAATACCCTGTACTAGATAACACCGTAAATGAATGATGATTCAAGAATCAGCACCGTTCATCTGGAACAACAACAGTTGTCACCGTTACTCAAAACGGTGACGGTGCTTTTTTTGACTGATTTTGGTGGGGTTGGGGGTAGATGAAATGTAGTATCCAGAAAATTATGTTAGAAAATGTCTTTCTAAAGTGTGTCACTATTCAAATTTTCAATTGTATTATATCGTATAATTTAAATTTAATTAAATTTTTATATTGTAATAAAATTATTAATTAGAAATTTTAAATTTGAACATGAGTATAGAGAAAATTGTGTTAAAAACATCACTCCATCATAACTTCAATACTAACTTTTTAAATAATGCTAAATAAAATTATTCATTTTTTAACTCAAAATATCAAATTTAAATTCAAATTATAAAAGAAATCTTGGTAGAAAGTACAACCTACAAATATATAAGATTATATATGGGAGTTTAAATAAATTAAATTTTGATACAGATAAAATAAAACAAGACGGATTGATAAGTTATTAATTAGGGGTTGTGTGTAGTGAGTTGCTTGTACAATTTGAAGTTTTCCACTTCATTTTTAGATTAGTATTATTTATGTTTCCAACAAATTTGATATTGGGGTACTTATGTGTCGGTACGGTTTAAATATAAATATTATTAATAATTGTGTTTATAGTACATATATAATCGATAATGAATTAATAATTCGAAGTATTGGATTATCAATTATCAATTATAAATAGCTTAGTTATGAGATCAATATATAAAGTTGTATTAATCATCTCTATCTATGTTTATTGAATTGAAATGTGGATTAAGTAGCTAAGTAGTCAAAACAAGATTCAAACATATGACCCAATAGTTGTAGGAGTCTGAACGGTTATAAAATTGACAAATCAATAATCTGAATTTTCAAATCTTTAGCAAACCTTGTTATAAATTTAGATTATTGATTTGACGTATAATTTTATTTATCGTACTTAATTTTACTTATCTTGATATATAAAGACTAATCTATTTAAAATAATTTATTAAAAATAAGTAGAAGTAAAAAGACTTTTAGAAGAATTTATTTAAGACTCGCTTTCACGTTTATAAAATATTACGAGGCTCACGTTGGGGCTTTATTCTATAATACTAGTACTTCAAGCACCCAATTAGATGGTCTATACGAGTCTTAACACTCAAAGCTCAAGCTTGCTTACAATTTCTATGCACGTCATATATAAAATTGCCAAATTAGCATCCTTCAGTTATATTTAAGTATTTTAAAAAGTCATTAGAAGAAAATTTTATATAATATTTAGAAAAAATGAATGAAAGATTCAACAAAAAAATATTTAGAAAGAATGAATGAAAGATTCAACAAAAAAATGTTTGGCTAACTTGGCATGATTTGTAAGTACAAGTTGAATGATATTTTTGTTACAAAAATAGATTAGTAACTTTTTGTGACACTCAAACAAATTAAGTAATTTTATGTTACGAGAAATAAATCTAGTAAATTTAATAATAAAATAAAACTTAAAAAGTGATCGTCGTTTATGAAATCAAACAACCAATGAATTTTGCTATTGTTGGTCAAGTTCACTTTATGTAAGTTTCATATTTTTATTAAGAAACGTTCATGTTTTTGCAACATAATTTATGTGTATTTTATCATCATCAAGTAGTCCACGCCTCTTTTAATGTTGGTTAATTTGTGATCCTATATATGGGACCTTATCCTTTCAAATCTGTTTCAAAAAAATATATGTAGAGAATTTGTTAAAAATATTTTTTTTTAATTTTTATAAAGATAAAAGAGAATAGATTATTACTTGTTATATTTTTAAAATTTATTTGTAGAATTAAATTGAATATGTTATTGTAAATATATATATATATATATATATATATGAGAACTGAGTATAAAAATAAAACTAGTAAAAATTTATAGGTTCATGTAAATCCTTTTCGATAAAAACGTATATATATAATCAAAATTATATTTATGTATTTATACATATGGTAAATATGGGACTATCATGTATTTACTTCGGCTTTAGATTATTTAGATATAATAAACGTTAAACTCTATTTAATTTTTAATTTATTCCTTCTTTGCATTTAAATTTTCTTAATAAAAATTTTCACTCCGCAATTAAAAAAATAGAAATGAAAAGAAGCCTCTCTTCAAATGAGAAAAACTGAAAAGTGAGTTGGCTTTTCTAACAGAGTATTTGTGGTGCTTATTGATTTGTCAACATTCTTGTTTTTTTGTAACGCTCCAATAAACAAAAACGGACACTTAATTAGATCCCCATTCTTTTAACTAAAAGTGCATTAATGCTTAAGTGAGCTTAATTAATTAATTAGTACTAACAATAATTGAATTATTTTAATCCATCCATCCCTGTATCTAGTTCATATATAACCTTACAAAGTGCATTCGTGGTGTTTTTAAGACATAGTTTATATGGTCCCTCTGTCTTGCATGTGCAATAATACATTATTTTAAGTCCTTTTGATTACGAAGTAAATTTACGAATTTATATGATGATTTTAAATTTTTATATATTTATAAATATTTGATGATAAATTCTTAAATTTATATAAATTAATAATTTATGAGTTAATGCCGTCCCTACCACCAACCGGCCATTTATAATTTTTCATGTTTCCTAGTATGACTCTTTTAGATGCACCCATAAAGCAAGGATCATCAAGAAATTTCTTCTTTCCTTCCTAAATGATCTATTAATTCCATATTTTACTTAATGTTTTTTTTTGTCCTATTTTATATGATTATCACTAAAAATGTGATGATAAAGAATTAAAATATTTAAAAATTGTTAATTTTACAAGATAGTGATAAACTTATTTGAATTTTTTGGGAAAAAATGTCAAATATTTTTTGAGAAGGTTATTTCTTTTTATTTGATTTTTTTAAATAAATTTTCTTTTTTGAGATAATAATTATTAATTGAATAACTATTTAAATTTCTTTTTTCGAAATAATTGTAGCATATGAAAAAAAAGTGCAACCTTATAAGGATTAACACCTGCAGAGGGAGCTCAATGATTAATTAGTTTTATAAAAATAATTTCACTTTCTGTCTCTCAATTATTAACATATTTGTATTTTGATTTCCTAGTAATATTTCACCAAGTAAATGTGTTTTTAGTCCCTTTACGTAGAAAACATATTGTATTTATCTATATTACTTTTAGTTCCATTTCGTAGTCATAGTGCAAATTTAACCTGATAAATAATTAAATGGTTTAATCATTGATAATTCAATCAAATTTTGGAGATTCAGAAAAAGGAGAATCAAATATTTTTTCATAATTCACTTTTAGTTATCACATTTTTCCTTAGCATACTCGTTAAAAAAATAATTGTTGACATAAGTATTTTTACTAAATTATTTTTATTAAATGATGCTTAGTATTAAGTCTTGAAAAATAATTTGAAGAACGAGTATTTAATGTTGAGATAACATGGAAAAATATAATTATTATTTTTTTGTATATCAAAAGTAATAAATAAAAATAATTTTTTTTAAAAAAAATGACAAATAAATATAAACGAAAAGAATATTCACAAATTTCCCATTACAAGAAGATAGACCGGAAGAATGTAATTAAGCAATTAATTAATTATGGAAAGAGGTGCGAAATAACGGTAGTTTTAGTTGACCACTAGGATGTCAATAACTAAAAAGTGCAATTACTTTCTTTTAATTAGAGAATTAATGACATGATCAGAAACAATAATCACCTCTAAAAGTATTTATTTAGAATAACCCCACCCCCAGATATTACCTTATTATTAATAATATAAGCATAATAAAAAGGTTTTGGTCTAGGTGGTTTCTTACTATGAAAGATTACCTCGTAATTTCTTGTTTAGATTTAAGTTTATTTTACTCATTTGGTAAGTGGCTAAGATATCGATTATTTCTTCTATTAATATTTTTTTTCAATTCATAAGATATACTTATCTAGCTTATCACATTCTATAACTAATCAGAAGTTAAAGAATTTATTACATATTCAAATTGATTAAAATATTTTAAAAAATAATATCTCTAAAAAAAAAAAATTCTAAAAAAATAAACTTCCTCAACGAATAAATATAGTGAAAAAATAAATTTTGATAAATAATATGCTATTAGACTTGCATTAACACATGTACATGAAAAATCATTTTTAATTTTTATAAAGCAACATCTGTCATTACTCCTTCGTTAAAGAATGTCACGTATTATGTCGCTTGACTTATTATCTGACGCATTTTACAATCAAATTTTGGTCATTAATTTTTATCTATGCCATAGATTTCACATTCAATTAAAAACTTGAAGAAAATAAAGAGGAATCGGATTCGATTATAATAAAAAAAATAGAAAATGAATGTATCATGTAACTTGACTTATAGTGTGATATATGTCGTGTTGCTTGACTTTTAATATTACACGTGTCACAATAAAATAAAATTATACGAGTCGATTAATTTGTTGTATCAACTCATAGATATAACATCCTAATAATATTTCTATTTCCCACTGTTGTTGCAGTCATTTTGTCAAACTAAACTTGTTACAATATATTAGCTTTGCTTTTGTTTATTCATTCAGTATATTAAAAAAATAATTAGGTTGACATAATATCATTATATAAGTACATTGAATTATGAATGTGTTAAGGAAAAAAAATAAGAACAAATAAACTGTATCATTTAGAGAATGGACTAAAAGGAAATGGAGTGTGTATTTATTTTAGGTTGAAGTAATTATCATTAGATTTGGTACAGTGAACAAAGAATGTGTGTCAAAGGTAAATTTGAGAAAAAGAATGAAATTCATGTCCTTTATGGAATGGAGGAAGTATTTTTCGTTTTAGGTTTGAAATAATTAATCGTTAAATATTTTTTTATTTATCAATATCATTATTTCGTATTAATTT